TCGACACTGCAGTCCCAACAGTGTACATAGCTGACGCGATGCTGGACATGCTTTTCGGTAATAGAGCATACAAGAACTCAATCTGTCCAACTGCATGGGCAGCCTCAGCCACTCCGAGTAGTGCATACTGTGGCACGAACCACATAGCAGACATGCTCACTAAAGCACTTGGGTCGTCCTCATGTCCTTCCTCAATTGCCCTTTGTCGTCTTATGCTTTCTGTTATTGCTGACAATGCCATAGACATACAGGAGGCAATTAAACCAATCCCCATTCTGGTGACAGGACTTAGCCCTCTAGGTTGTCCAGTATATTTTGACAGCAAAGGGACCAAAACACGGTCGTAGAAAGCAATCCAGATTGTTAAAGCAATAATCAAGAACACACTGAATGATGCTGCTGGTATTTCAAAGTGATCAGGGAAGATGTGTCTATCCATGGTTTTTGTTTGAAGTAAGGAAAATGCGAATACATTCATGTCCACAAAGATAATAAAACCAGTGGACCACATAGGAAGTACTCTAATAATAGCCTTGAGTGATTCAACTCGTTCCACACTACAAAGATTCCATGGATTTGAAGTTGATCCATCAGGATTCAAATCTCTTTCAGGATCTTCAATGATACAAGCTCTATTTAAGAACCTATAACGTACAATAAAATATTATTACAATGAACTGCAATATCACTGATAAAAAAGGAGAAAAGAGTAGTGACAACAAATTATAGATACACAGTTTTATGATTAGCATATCATAAAATCTTCAACAGATATTTTGTTGTTTCAGACAAAGTGCATAGCATTCGAGTAATATGGAGACACTGACCTTAAGTCCTTTGATGGAGTCAAGACCTCTGATTCAAGTGGCCAACGATAGTATTCATCACAATCAGTCAATGAAAGACGACGGGTATTTCTTTTCCTAAAAGCTGCTACAACTGTTTGGAACAATCCTATGACCAAGTTTTGTTTAGTTTTAGCTTTCACTTTGATATAAAGAGGAGAGCCGATTTGGAACATTAAGACAGACAAAAACATGAGGATAGCAGGGACACCAAAGCCAACTTTCCAACCATAACTATCTTGAATATAAACAATAAGGGTAACTGCAAGAATAGTTGAAATCCCTGTGCTAGCATAGTACCAATTGAAATAGCTTTCAAGAATCCTCTTGTTCTTTCGATTTTCCAATTGATCAGCACCAAATATTATAGAACAAGGTCTAACAAAACCAGCTCCGACGGACATAAATCCAAAAGATGAAAACAGAACAGCAAGTTGTAGTAGTGTTGGTCCATTACAAACATGTTGGAAATGAGAGCAGGGTAAATTCTTGAGTTGTGGAATCATTGCTGTGAGCCATAGAATAATCATTCCCTGTCCAAGAAAAATGTTAAACTTTGTAGCCAAGGGACCAAATATATGGTAGCACCAAAATAATTGAATATATGAGAGAAAGCCATACAAGTGCTTGTTCAACATTCATCCTTCTGAACGATTTAGCTATTGATTAGAAAAAACAAAAAAAAGGGTCATATTTGAGAGCTTATACTCTCAAAAAAAAAGTTATTATTTATTGCCGCTAAAAATTAATTTTGTTGTAATGGTTAGAAATTATGCCAAAAATATATTCATATAGGCACCACGTAAGATAATAAGGATAGGGACATAGGAGTTAAGCGTTTAAGGCAAATATGTACTCAAAAATTGATTAATAACGATAAATATATCAAAAAGTATGATGATGGATAAATATAAATATGACCAGAAGAAAATAAGAAAGCAGGGAATAAATTGATCACTTCTTGTAACGGACTTCTGACACTTTGTAACCATAGTACTAATTCATTTATCCTGACACTACAGATAAATCCAAGGTTCAAATCCCACCAACTATTTTCCATAAATTTTCACAAATATTTTGAATTTTTTTCACCAACTATTTTCCATAAATTTTCACAATCAATGGCAAAGAAATAAGGAACAAAAAGTTGGAAAAAGAAAAAGAAAAGGGAGGGAATAAAAAGTTCGAAATATTATAGAGAGAACAATTTTTAAATATTTTAATATTTGTCCCTAATGTTTTACAAATTATAATTCAGCTTGAAATTTCAAAAATTCCTTATCCTTCACTCCACTTTTAAAAGTTCCTTTTAACTTGTTATTCGAAAGTTACCATACTGGTGGAAGGTTGCAGGGAACCAATGTAATAGCTAAAGGGAGCCCAATTATATCATAGTAATGAGATAAGTTATGAATATATGGATAATTTAATATAACTTATTTCCAACCAAACAACTCATAACTAATGCAAAAAAAATGAAATTCAGCAATTGTGAAATGGCACAACTCACAATAAGAGTAGAGATGGATCCAAAGGCAACAGCTCTAAATCGACCCCAGTAAGAATCAGCAATAATTGCCCCAACAAGAGCCAATCCACTTGAAAGTGCACCCCATAGTCCAAGAATGGTAGTACCAGTAGCAGCACTCATGTTATAATATGTCATCAAGTAGATTAGCATGTTAAATTGTAAGCCATAGCTTGCTACCCTTTCAAATGCTTCATTCACTGCAAAAATAAGAACAAAAATTTGAAATAATTAGTACTTAAACACAAACAATTTTATTTTAAAAAAATAAAATAAAATTACCAATGATGAAAGGCATAGTTCTAAGACCACCCTTTCTTGGCTTCTCTTCAACTTGAGTTTCTATGCCCATTTTCACTCTGTTTTTGCTCTTCAGTTTCTTCTTGGCTTTATAATATGAGTGAGAGAAAGAGTAGAAACAATAAACCACAGTCCCAGGTGGTCAGGTCCATGCTCCTTGCCTGAAATAACCATAACAATTTGTTCCATATTATGGCCACATTTAAAAAGATCACAATATTCTTATTTACAATCATGCATTTGTTTCTCCCAACAATTTTCCTATTCCCAAAACTATCAGAATTATTATTCTATTTTTCTCAATTTATGTGACATATTTTGATTTTTGAGAGTTAAACGGTTTAAATTTGATCGGAAATTTGCGTATGAAATTATCAAATTTTTGGTAATGAAATTTATTTATTTGTAATCTATGTAAAAAGTACTACTCTAAGTCACAATAATTGATATTCCTAATTGATAATTCAAAATATTTAAAAGATATATGAAAAATTTACGGTATAGGAAAAAAAGTGACTGATTGCTTGATGAAATGTTTCTTTATGTATTTTTAAAAAATTCTTTTTTTTTGGTACAGTATGTTAAAAAAAGAGTTACTACATATTTTGATATTTTAAATATTTCATATTTATTTTATTTGTCTTATTTAAAAATATATTTTTATTTTTACTTCATGTTTTGTCCTTGTATTAATTACTTAGATCTCATTTGTTTGCACTTAATGATGATCTTAATTTTAATTATTTTGATCTCAGTCATTAAGTTTGTTTGTTTTCAAGATATGAATATTAATCATTAAGGGTCTGTTTGGAAAGTCACTGCTAATTGGAATTGGTGTAATTACTAAGGTAGTAATTACCAGCTTAGTAAGTACACGGCCTAGTAATTACATTGACTTGTTTGTTTGTCACAAATATAATTACAGTGTAATTACAAGTGTACTGTTTGATTACACAAATGTAATCATAAGGTCATATTGAATTTTTAAAATAAAAATTGATTAGTTAAAACTAAAAATTTATATTAGACAAATAAGATCCTTTATAATTGATATTGAATTGAATATTTGAGATATATATAGTCTTTTGAAAATATATTAATTAATAGCATATGTTCTAAACTAATATTATAAAAATAATTGATTTAGGTCTTTCAATTTAGAAAACACAGTTATTGTATTTTTTGGTATATTATAAAATAGTTTTTTGCTATAGTTGTAATAGTGACATTACTGTTACAATATAGTGAGAAAAGTTAAGTTACTTTAACAAGGTAAAAGGCTAGCGCATACATTATTAAAGTGGATAAAGTTCAATAATACATGCATATGCTTATGGATTTTGGTTTTACAGAACTTGTGATGCATAAGTTGCTTCAAGAATTTGAAGGATTAAAGGCTACTTTGACACATTAATAGTCAATACTACGCAATATATCATAAATATAATAAATTATAATTGAAAATAAAATGACAAAATTGGATAAAAAATATTCAGACTGAGGTGCGGATATCTCGCTCTATTTAAGGAGATTCAAGTCCACTGTGGCATAATCTTCATTGATCCAACAATATCACTTTTGACTTGTCTCCTCCAGGATACAACATTCCAACAACTTCGTACAACTCAAACAACTCTAAATAAGTTGAAGAGTCCAAAGCCCCACAAAAAGAACATCTTCCTTCAACATATAAATATTCTCGTTTGTATAGTAAATATAGTTAAAAATTTAAAATAATATTTTTTGTCTCAACTCTCTCTTTCACTACACTAACCTCACTTCACACTACAAAATTTTCCACACTTATCATATTTCTTGCATACTTTCACAGATCCCCAATACAAAGTAAGATCACACTATTTATAAGCGAGGAATTCTTCCTTGCAATGAATAGGAAGATGGTGAGGTAGTGAATTGGGTAAATAAATAGTCAATAGGTTACATGAGTTACAAGATATAATGAGGTAGAATAATAAAAGAAATAATAGGTAAGAGGTTACAAAAGGTACTAATGACCACATTCAACTACAATGAGTAGGAGTAATAGGGCATATAATGTCATCAAATGACACTCAAATGCTGCACAACATATGCTACAAACATGCAGCAATACATTTGACATTTCTCATGAGGAATTATGCACTTTAAAATAGTAATAAGATGCTTTAAATCCAACAAATACCATTTTCTTAAGCCTCCATTTGACAAAAGACAATGTGGTATCCAAAATGTTGTCTGAGGAAAGTCACAACACAGTTCAAAAATATATGAAAACACTCTATTGGCTAACTTAATTAGTAGTAGTTGCATCATTCAACATTGCAGTACAACATATCATCAAGATTCATGTAAGAGTCTATAATCACATTCTTTATCTTCTGCCACATGAGATAACCTACTGCTCCCATCTTTACCAGTTTCATATAACCGGCAGACCATCACAAAATAGAAAAAGTTGAGCAAACTCAAAAAAGCAAGTAGCCAGAAATAGTAATCCAGGTGACCCTTGTTAATGTTGCTAGAAAGCCAGCTTGTTTTACCTCCCGTTGATGTAAGCCAATCCACGCCACTCACCAGAATACTTCCAACCAAACTCGCCACAGCAGTCCCAATAGTGTACATAGCTGACGCGATGCTGGACATGCTTTTGGGAAATAGAGAGTAGAAGAACTCAATTTGTCCAACTGCATGGGCAGCCTCAGCCACTCCGAGTAGTAAATATTGTGGCACGAGCCACATAGCAGACATGTTCACTAAAGCATGTGGGTCGTCCTCATGCCCTTCCTCAATTGCCTTTTGTTGTCTTATGCTTTCTGTTATTGCAGACAATGCCATAGACATACACGAGACTAATAAGCCAATTCCCATTCGGGTAACAGGACTTAGCCCTCTTGGCCGTCCAGTATATTTTGATAGCAAAGGGACCAAAACACGGTCATAGAAAGTTATCCAGATTGTTAAAGCAATAATCAAGAACACACTGAATGATGCTGCTGGTAATTCGAATTGAGGGATGACATGTCTATCCATGGTCTTTGCTTGAAGTACAGAAAATGAGAATTGATTCATGGTCACATAGATCATAAAACCAGTGGACCACATAGGAAGTACTCTAACAATAGCCTTCAATGATTCAACTTGTTCCAAACTAGAGAGATTCCATGGATTTGAAGCTGATCCATCAGGATTCAAATCTCTTTCAGGATCTTCAATCATGCAAGCTCTATTTAAGCACCTATAACGTACAATAAAATCTTATGTCAATAAATATCATATCATATAGACATTTGAGTAATATTGACAATGGAAATGCCATTGGTGAAAAGATGGAAGCACTGACCTGAAATCATTTGATGGTGTCAAGACCTCTGATTCAAGTGGCCAACGATAGTAGTCATCACAATCAGTCAATGGAAGACGAGTATTTCTTTTCCTAAAAGCTGCTACAACTGCTTGAAACAACCCTATGAGCAAGCTTTCTTTAGCTTTCACTTTGATATACCAAGGAGAACCAATAAGGAACATTGAGACAGACAAAAACATGAGGATAACAGGGATGCCAAGGCCAACTTTCCAACCATAACGCTCTTGGATATAAACGACAGTGGTAACTGCAAGAATAGTTGAAACCCCTATGCTAGCATAGTACCAGTTGAAATAGCTATCAACAAGCCTCTTGTTCTCGGGTTTCCCTTTTTTTTCTAATTGATCGACACCAAATATTATAGAACAAGGTCTAATAAAACCAGCTCCAACAGACATAAACCCGAAAGATGAAAATAGAACAGCAAGCTGGAATGCTGTTGTTCCATTACAAACATGTTGGAACTGAGGGCAGGGTAAAGACCTGAGTTGTGGAATCATTGCTGTGAGCCATAGAATAATCATTCCCTGTCAAAAGAAAAACCTCTTGTTGAAATGGCACAACTCACAATAAGTGAAGACAATTAATGACTCACTCTAAAACAGAATCCATCTCTTTCACCTAAGTAAGTGCAACGATTATTCGCTTACCCTGTCATCACAGATTTACAATAACAACATACTTTTTGCACCGGCTAATTTCACATAGAGAAAAGGCTCAATATGTCATCGAAATTTGAGAAAAGGCTCATCATTGTCGTTCATTAAAATTTTGGCTCATTTCAGTTAACAATTAATGACATTTTCTCAAACGGAAATGGATCTCACTCTAACATTAAGTCAAAAAACTATTATTATTTTTTTGTCTACAAATTGCACAAACAAATTAGAATAACTGAATGAAGCAATTTGAGTCCAGAACAATTAGCAACTCACAATAAGGGTGGAAATGGATCCAATAACAACAGCCTTAAAGCGACCACAGTAAGAATCAGAAATAATGGCCCCAACAATGGCTAACCCATTTGAGAGTGCAGTCCATATTCCAAGAATACTAGTACCAGCAGCAGCAGTCATGTTATAATATTTCATCAAGTAGATTATCAAATTTGCTTGTAAACCATAGCTTGCTACTCTTTCAAATGATTCATTCACTGCAAAAAGAAGAAAAAAAATGAAATAATTAGTACCTAATGAATGCAAGCAATTTGAAGAACAAAAAAATAAAGAGATTACCAATGATGAAAGGCATGGTCCTAAGACCACCTTTTCTTGGATTTTCTTCAACTAATTGTGTTTCTGTGTCCATTTTCAGTACTACTCTGTTTTTCCTCTTCTCTTCAGTTCACTCTCTACTCTGGCTTTAGTATGACCTAGAGTAAAAGATAAGAGGGGCTAGGTGGGATATGCACCATTTTAATTTAAGCACACCATTTTAGCTCAATTTTGTCATGTTTTATTGATGGGACTAGTTACACAAAGACATTTTATAAGTTGATATATTTTACGAAATTATCTTAACTAAATATTATGGTAAATGAAGTATACAGTCATAAAAGAATTAAAAGATAGTGCTCGTTCTCGTCACTAGTTGATAAGGTTTGCTTATTTATATATCTAACATTTCTCGATGTGAGACTTTTTGTCTTAATTAGAGGCATATACATAAGGTTTGATCCACCTTAGCGAGGTTTGTCTAAATTCAGTTGAACTCCACATCGATAAGGCTGAGCGTGATTTGTCTAAAGTCAGTTGAACTCCATATCGATAATGCTGATAGAGAAGTGACTCTCGTACCATTTGTAAAGGCGCATCCCGCATAAACCCACACGACTTTTAAAACACATCACTAGTTAATAAGGCCTACTTATATATATATCGGAAAAGGGTCAAAATTGCCCCCGAACTATATGAAATAGACCGTTTATACCCTTCGTTACATTTTGGGATAAAAAATGCCCCTTCTGTTATCCTAAGAGACCACAAATACCCTCAAGAGTTAACACCCCAATTTTTTGTTGACGTGGCAAGCCACGTGGGACTAATCCTTCCACCTAAGTGTTGCCAACTAGGATTCACTACAAAAGAACTAGACCTTTAGCGGCAACAACAGTCGTCACAAAAGCCCAGAAAATCGTCACTAAAAGTTTTTAACATTAAATTCTAATTTTGTGTTTTTTTCTTCATTGTTTTTAAAAAACCAACTATGATATCGATTAAGTAGGAGTTTGAAGACACTATATGTTTTATTTTTGTCATATGTAAATGTATAAAATGTACAATGATGCATTATATATATAGTAGGAGATTTGAATCGAGAAGTAATTTTGATTATTTTTCGTAATAATATTGGATGTTTTTAATATGGATATTGCAAGTTATTTATTTTAGAAAATTAGGTCGCAATCGAAAATTAATTATCATATTTTTTTTGTTGAAAAATAGGTTTTACTAGCGAATAGTTGTTGGAGCCTTAGTCGCCACTAAAAATCACTCATAACCTTTAGTGGCAATATTTTGGGATTTTGTGGCGACTTTGTCGCCACTAAAAGTCAAGTTCTTTTGTAGTGAATCTTAGTTGGCAATGCTTAGGTGGAGGGATTAGTCCCATGTGGCTTGCCACGTCATTAAAAAATTGGGGTGTTAACTCTTGAGGGTATTTGTGGTCTCCTGGGATAACTGCGTGGGTATTTTTGATCCCAAAATGTAATGGAGGGTATAAATGGTCTATTTCGCATAGTTCAGGAGCAATTTTGACCCTTTTCCGTATATATATATAAAAAAAATTCTCTTATATGGAACTTCTTGTGTTAAGTTAGGACGCATATACTTAGGAATATTATAACAACATTCTACTCTCTCAAATTTAGGCTCGTCTTTTCCTTCTTCACAGCCCTCTCTTCCTTTCTCGCCCCTCTCCTTCCTCTCACCTCTTTCTATTTATTTGGTCTATATTGAAATTTACGATTCGGTATAAAATTCGATTTTTCCATAGACAATTTCTTTATTTTTCTTTTGAAGTGATCAAAAAATATAATTAGAAATCTTTAAAATTTCTATTTTTATGGATAGTACCACTAAAGTTTAGGAGCTTATTTATTTGGGGAAAAAGTACAGTAGGATTCATCACCATTAACATACTATATTGATACAAGTGATTAGTTGATACACTTGTATAATTATATTCGTTGATCCAATTTGATATAATTAATATACCTAATAAATACACAAGAAATAAATATACTTAATTGACCAAATTTTCTGGCCAAAAATTTTTTCCTTAAAAAAACAATAGAAGCACCAACCCCCATGTAACCCACTATTAACTCGCTTTAAATTTGATGCTTCCAAATTAATTCTCGAATTTAGGAGTGACAGAATGGGGCAGAGCAAAGATTTAGGGTCCGTTTGGAAAGTCACTTGGTAATTGAAATTGGTGTAATTACTAGGATAGTAATTATCAGCCTAGTAATTACACTAACCTGTTTGGTTGTCATAGTGTAATTACATTGTAATTACATATGTCCTGTTTGGATGTCACAGTGTAATTACACATGGTCTATTTGGATGCACAATTGCAATCATAAAATTATATTAAATTTTAAAAATAAAAATTAATTATTTAAAATTTATACTAGACAAATAAGAAACTTTATAAATGACATTAATTTAAATATTTAAGATATATATATTTTTTTTGAAAATATATTAATTAATAAACATATATTCTTTTAACTAATATTATGAAAAAATAACTAATTTATATTTTTTCAAATTAATATATTTCAATTGAATTGATCATAAAAACTAAAAGCATAAAGTTTCTACGAACATCGTGAAATGCATGTTTGATAAAAAGATTAATATATAAATAAAATGTCATAAATTATTAAATGCTTGACAAAAAGACAATCTATCAAGTCTAATTAAAAAATGATGTGCAATGTGAATTCAATATTACTAAAACAAATGAAACTGAAAATATAACATAAGCTATAAATTCAAAACAAAAAATTTAGCATAATACTCTCATAGCAAATTTCAACATAACATACATAAATATGATTTTATTTTATTTTTTTAAAAAAAAAGAAAACTTAAGTCTATAACCTTACTTAACAATAAATTATATTTTAATTTAAAAAATAGAATACTAATAAAATTACACCAATGAGAAAATAAGCATGGCATAAAGAAATAGATAATACGAAAAAATTGCATAGAATCACGTAAAGTAAGGTTGAGAACAAGAAGAAAATGAAATATAATAATATAAAATAAAAACAAACTTTTCGAATAATAATAAAAAAAGAACTTAAAATAATAAAAGTAAAAAAAATTAAAACAAAAAAATAAAAATAGAAATAAAAAATAATAATTAAAAAGTAGTCCACTGGTAATTACACCCAATTACACCAAATCCAATTAACAGAGTGTCCTTTCAGACATGCCCTTAATGAAATGAGGATTTTTAAGCTATGAAAGAATGAGGCAAATTAATTGTAAAGTTATTACTCCATTCTTTTATTTATGTGTCGTTTTTATTAAAAATTAATTTTGTGATTATTTTATAAAATTAATGCATAAACGACACTATTCTTCCTATTTTACTCTTGAAAGTTATTAGCCCTGAAAATATGTATGTGACCAACATATAAAAAACTAAGTAATTAATTCATGTTCATTGGTCAAATTAATTAATCAAAATAAATTAATTCATGTTCATTGATTGAAAACTTGACTTTAAAAAAAAACACTAAATTAAAATACAATAATAAATTTACTTTATTTCTTTAAGAACGTAAAATCTAAAATGGTGACAACTAAATAGTACCCAAGGCAATACTATTTTAGAAGCTTAATGGTATGTCCTTACTTAATGCAACCAATTTAATATATAATCCATGTGCTACATCTCAACTTATGCTGACATATTTTCTATATTTTTGAAGTGAACAGGAAAGATACAACTGCAACTAAATAGTACCCAAGGCAATACTATTTTAGAAGCTTAATGGTATGTCCTTACTTAATGCAACCAATTTAATATATAATCCATGTGCTACATCTCAACTTATGCTGACATATTTTCTATATTTTTGAAGTGAACAGGAAAGATACAAATGCAACAATAACTTTTTTTAATACAACAATAATTGACTCGATAAAAAAAAGTGAATTGTTGAGTCGTTTTACATAGTTTAAAATAAGTAAATTATTTAAGGGTAATGCTAAATGGCCAGAAAATTTAGTCAGAAATTTTAAAAAAACTATAATATCTTTTTTATTTTAAAATAAACTGATTTTTTTCTATTTTTTTTAGTTAAAAGGTATTAAAGTTAAAAGGGTAAAAATATTTTTAAAAGTAAAATAACATAGATAAAATATCATTCTGGCCAAATTTTCTGACCAAAAGGATTTTCCATTATTTAAAATTTATTTACGAATTTTTGGCATTAATTTTATATATTTTTTTTCATATTTTATAAATAAAAAATAATAAATTGTCAAATAGAATTGCCACGTCATTTTTACATTACCACGTGACATTGGAAAAGGGTCAAATATACCCCTAAACTATTCGAAAAGATATACCCCCCCCCCCTTTTAAATAAACTACTCGACCCGTTTTCAATAATTTTTTTAAAATTTTTATTTTTTTTGGTAAATCTCGAAAATGAGTAATTGACTAATAAAAACTACGAAAAATATAGAAAATTAACGCCAAAAATTCACAAATAAATATAGTAACCTTAAATTCAACAATTTCAACAATTTTTTTAAATTTTTATTTTTTTCGATAAATCCTGAAAATGAGTAATTGATTAATAAAAAACATGAAAAATATAACCTAAAAATTCAGCATAAAGTCATTTTCATATTTATTTTTTTTATTAATCAATTACTCATTTTCATCATTTATCGAAAAAAAAATAAAAATTTAAAAAAATTGTTGAAATTTTTGAATTTAAGGTTACTATATTTATTTACGAATTTTTGGCATTAATTTTATATATTTTTTTCATATTTTATAAATAAAAAATAAAAAATTGTAAAAAACTATCAAAATTGTCAATTTTTTATATCATCTTACTAGATAAGTAAAAATTTATATCACAAAAAAACAATACAATACAATAATACACTATCACAAGCCTAATGTAAAAATAAAATACAACATTTATTATCAAACTTTAATATGATTTGTAGTGTACTACTCTTAATAATCATTTCACATAATGCGAGCAATCTCGGTTGAACATCCATTTTTTGAAATAAATGGTTTAAAAGTTGATAAGCGTAAAAATTCAATTATAAATTTGATTGGTGAAAGTAAAAGTTATATTTCTCAATATCAATGATTAAAAGATTTGTATGTGTAATAATATTACTAATAAATTTGATTGGTGATAGTAATCTGATTAAAGGTTCGTAAGAAAAAT